AGAGAGAGAGAGAGAGAGAGAGAGAGAGAGGTATTGATAGACAGAGAGAGATACAGAAAGACAAATAAATAGACAGATAAACAGACTGACAGAAAGAGAGACAGAAAGAGAAGAGAAGGTAGAGATAGGTGACGAGACGAGACTGAAGTGGTGGGGGAGGTGGGTATTTTAGCAATTCTAGAGCCATTTTTGGTAGCTTCTGCAATCTGTATAGTGTCGGAGTATTTTAGGTTACTGGTGTTGTCCTTAAAAATTAGTTAACGATCGGAAAACGATCCACTGTCTAACTCTTTATCGTTCTTGTTTGTGTGTTCGACGATTCTGTTTTCTAACCTTAAAACCTCGAGATCGTGGGTTTACTAGGACTTCAAATACATTATTTTTTTGCAAAACATAACTTGTGTATTTTATTATGTATGGCATCGTGGTGAAATCAGGCGTTCGTACAAATAATGTAATCAAGGAAACCGTCCCTTTTCTGGCCGTTGGGAAATTATTTTCAAATTTTCTGTTTTGACCCATACCTTATATGTCCTTTTAAAACACATGTCTGTGTGGATTTTACTACGAAACGTCGATCAAAGGCACAGAAAAAGTAAATTGCAGTTTCCAAAAACACTCAAGCTTTGGAAATCACCAAACTTTGGCGGCCATTTTCTCGCTGATGTTACCTCTGACACCTGGCAATCCTCACCTCCTTCAATGGCAAATACCTTGACTTCAAATCAAGATAGATGGGTATTTTCTGCACCAAATGCAAGACAGATGAGCAAGTTTTAAGATTCTTCTTATAACTCCATATGATCAAAAATTGAAGAGCGCCTGATTCCACCATGTTGTGACACAATTTGTTATTAAAAAAACCCAAAAGAGTAAAAAAAAAGTCCCCCCCCCCCCCTTGGTATTCTTTTTTCAGCCAAGCAAAGCAAACACAATTTTAGTCTTTCAAGTGTTAGTACGTGACAATTTCGACCTTCTGTAGACTACTTATTACACCAAATCTACGCTTTATTAATCACCCCAGGCGTTATTGCAACATGTGTGGTAATAAAAGGACAAGGAATGGCCGGATTATGAAGGTTAATTACATGTGGTGATGTCGACAAAAATACGTTCGAGATGGGAGAACAACAGGAACACTTGACATATGGGATGATGGGTCGTTAATCTTTTGCCAGAAAAACAATAAAATCTTTCATATTGTTGGCAATTATTTGGCAAGAGATATATTGCTGGTGCTTTTGTCAGCTCAAAGTAAGGGAGTTGGGACTAAAACATTGTTGATATCATTCTAGTTCTCCACACCTCCACGACCCAACCCAATAACCCTCCCTAAACACCCATCCTCACCCGACCCCATTACCATCCCTCTTCCTCTCCACTCCCACCTCATCTCCATCCCTCATCCCCTCCACTCTTACCTCATCACCATCCCTCATCTCCGCACCCCAACCTCATTACCATCCCTCATCCCCTCTACCCTCATCTCATCCTCATCCCTCATACCTTCCACCTTCACCCCACCCCATCACCTTTTTTTAATCCCCCACCCCCCATCCCATCACCATCTCTTAATCCCTTCATCGTCACCTCATCACCATCCCTCATCCCTCCATCCTCATCCCATCACTATCCGTAAACACCTCCACCCCAACTTCATCACTATCTCTCATCCCCTTCACCCTCACCCCAACACCATCCCTCCCCCTTTCATACTCAACTCATCACCATCCTCCATCCCTTCCATCCTTAACTTGTCACCATCCTTCTCCCCCCCTCTCAAATATCATCCCTCATACCCTCCACTCACACCGCATCATCATCCCTCATCCCCTCCACCTTTACCCAGCAACCGTTGCCGCCTATCCTGTACCCTTTATTTCGGGCTCGCAGTCTAATTTGATTATTTCATGTACTCATTTATTCTTAATATTATATAGGTCAATATCTTTTCATCTACTTTCCCTCTCATTCTTCTTTCTATCCGCTTTTTCCGCCTATTAGCCTAACCGCCAGCTCATACATATTATTATGATAAGCAAATTTCTTAAAATTCCTTCTGAAGTATATGCATATCCAAACGTTAGTCCGTTCACCCATCCTTATGTCTGCTCATGAATTAATATAATTTACAGATTAAGGTTTGCTGATTCATATAACCAGTCAATTATCCGTTCATTTTGATAACCACCTGATCCAACAAATCTACTGACCTTCGTACTTTTATCAAACGTTTTAATAATATCAACAGCAATGAATATAACCCACTCCTCTAGGTATTCATCTATCTATCTACCCATCTATCCAATATTCCCTTTGTGGACTCACACAACCACTTTTAAACCGAAAAAGCTTAAAAACTAAAGTTCTCCTCTTCTCTCTCTCTCTCTCTCTCTCTCTCTCTCTCTCTCTCTCTCTCTCTCTCTCTCTCTCTCTCTCTCTCTCTCTCTCTCTCTCTCTCTCAACTCACCTACGCTTTCATTCGTTTACCCTTCTACCCATCCCTCTGTCTATTTACGTAATCCCTCATTTATTTATCATTAACTGTTTCTTCCTCTTCAGTCCCCGTTTACATCACAATCAATAATTAAGACAGCAATCCTTTAACTTACTGGATCGCCTTTGCAGGTCGGGTAGTGAGGAAGACGCTGTACTTTGTGTTCGCGTTCAGTTTGACAGTGATGCTGTTGTCAAACCGTTCGCCATCCTGCTTTTGAAACACCGGAGCATCATCAGCAGCTCGCCTCAGGGAGATCTGTAGCTTGAAATTGGAGTTGGTTGTCATCTTATTAGTATTCAGCCACACGAGTTCACACGGAATGATTTGATAAGGTTCTCCGACTAATTGTATGGAGATCCAAGAGTGAGGGATACAGTCAGAAAAGTCAAGAAACCTCCCTCAAGTTGTTGTACTTGCTGTTGTTATTGCAACTGTTCTTGTTGTTTTTGTTGTTGTTGTTGTTGTGCTTGCTGTTGCTGTTGTTTTGTTTTTCCTCAATGGGAAGTTTAAAGACACGGTAGGTTCAGGGCAAATGAACTTATGTTGAAGCAACGTCTGGGTTGGGCATGTATCTGTGTCTCGACTGCCTTTCTCTACACGTCACATTGCCAGGATGAGCTCACAAAATGCTGAGCCAAAAGTGGAAAGACAGTTGTACAAGGCAATCACGGGATGCAGTGCAATCTTTTTCTGTCCAGACTTTTGCTACATCTTAATGTATTTTTGCGTCTAGTTTTGCGTCTGTTTTCTGTCCTCGACAAAGGTTGCGTCAATATCCAAGTTTCCTGAAATACCTGAAATAAATATAATATGCCTTTATCTGTTCCATAACCTTTAGAAAATGGATCATAAACCAGGGGTTATTGGTTAAATTACGAAATTGATATTCAATTTTTGAATGTATATAATATGTAAAGTAGAGATTTGCCTGCAACAAAGCAAGAGAAAGGCATAGGGCAGAGATCACAAATAGTCGAGTCGCACCAAATAAACGCAGACATTTTTTTGGGGGGATTCAACTTAAAATGTCATCCAACAAGCACCATAATAACCCTGCAAGCGATACGAACTAAGGAAACAAACAAACAAAACCCCCCCAGCAAAAACAAACAAAAATGCTTGATTGCACAATTGATCCGCAGACAAATTTCAACTTTAGCTGTATTCGTCAGCAACGTATTATGACCGGTGAAAATAGATCAGCTGCTTTGGAATTGTGATTCTTTTGGGTTCTTCATTTGTATATCACAGTAAAATAGGTAATTAAATGCCGCTGAGTATGGCAATGATAACAGAGCTACAGCGTAAAAAATAATAGAGTTGAGAAGGATGGCTTTATTTGAGCAGGTAAGAAATACGTGGGAAACTATAAACCGCATGATAAAACAACGTCAGAGAAGTTCTTTTCTTTTTGCTGCACATACAATTCATTATTTTGCTCTTTTGTAATGTTATTTTTCATTGCTCTGGCAGTACTTTTTAATACACTGCTTGGTAAAATAATTAGCGACCGAAACATTTTCCATTGTTAAAAATATTATGGACTGCGTGTGACCTATAAGAAATTAATAGTCTCCGTTATGGCAAACACATTTTCATTATTCCACCATGCTTCACGTCAACTAGCTAAGGTGGTATGCTCAAGATAAATTTATATACATGTAATATTATTAAGGCTTTACTACAAGTATCATAATTCATATTGTCTTATTTGAATACCTCTTGATTTAAAGCGTTCTTTTACTAACAGCTTCTTCCTGTTTGTTTTAACTTAATTAAAATCTGCCGTAAAACAAATCCTGCAACAAAATTGAAAAACCGAAAAGAAAAATAAAGATAACGAAGAGTGGCACGGAAACATCAAGTCTCAACATCGAAACATATGAAAGGAATTTTGATTCTAGTTATTGGAAAATATAACTTAGATACATAAAATCAAGTAAGCTTCGTAAGAAATTTCCCCTATGTGAGAAAAATGTAAATACATGTACAAGGATATAAATATAAAGATTATTTAACCCATCATTCCTTCGAAAATATGTAATAAAACACGAGGGAATGGGAGGGCGGCGATTACACAATGCTCAATGATCCAGATGACAATCAATCCTGGTCAGAGGGAATAGGAGGATGTACCAATACCTCGTAAGCACCAGCTGAGGAGGCGCGAGTATGATCGATAGACACGAACCTTTTACCGTCTTGGGGCGTCTAAAGCCAGGATGATAGCTACAGGGGCGCTCTACTTCAACGGCGTCATGAATCGAGCGCTAATGGAGGGTCATCTGCCGGCTGGAGGGAGTCTCTCTCTTTCTCTACCCTCTCTCTCTCCCTCTCTCTCCCTCTCTCTCCCTCTCTCTCCCTCTCTCGCTCTCTCTCTCTCTCTCTCTCGCTCTCTCTCAGTGTCTCTCTCCGCTGCTTGCCCCCGATGGCACCACACACACTCCTGGGATAGGATGGATTCGTCTCGCTCCGCTCCTACAGTCGCCTGTGTCTGGACGCAGTCTAACCCCTTTCTACGTCATGTTGTTGGCTCCAGGCTGGCTGGCGTCTGTCTCGGACAGCCTCTCAATCGACTGTCCGGAAAAAACAAACACGGAACGCTTGCATAAAAGAGTCTTTTGTCACTGTGTTTCCTTACATGTGTGAAGATAGATACACACACACACAAACACACACTCACACACACACACACACACACACACACAAACACACACTCACACACACACACACACACACACACACACACACACACACACACCCGTGCGCTCACACACGCACACACACACACACGTGTACATACACACGTTTATCTTTTCACCTTGATGATCAGGCCCCATTGAGCACACTTCCAATGCTCTAGCCTGAGACTATACTTGTAGGACGTAAATGAATTCTCAAGGTGAAAGTAATCATGAAGTCAAAGTGCCAATAATGTAAACATTAAATGCGCAACAAAGTTAGGTCAACTTACAGAAAAAAATCGGTCTTGTGGATCAGATTACACGAATAGAAATTCAAATTCGATTATCAAAAGCCATAGAATTCCGCCGACAAAAGGGTCTGTACACTATTCACAAAGTTCAGGTAGACATAAAAATACAAAAGCCAGAAAATCAATGCTCAGCTGTTTCAATAAACATTACGTCTTTGTATTTTTTTATTTCGTTTTTGATAAGCTCAAGGCTACTGGCGCATATTTCACAATACACTTTTAATGACGTAAGGTTAGCTCACAATTCAACATTATACTGAGTCATACCTTGATACCAATATTTTGCCTGTGTCGTAAATTAAAGTAAGAGATTCGAAAGTTGATGTGTCTCTCAAACACATTTTAAAGTAAACTCTCCATACTTAGCTGTTATGGGGAATGAAATACGATCACCAAGAATTCATCTTGTTTGGAGATTTTCTCAGTCAGGGTATTCAAATACGAGAGTTTTGAGACTTTGTTACCATTGTAACAACATGGTAATCATAGCAACTAATTTCCAGACATATGTTTCATGACGCGGTGGAATCAGGCGCTCGTTAAATTTTAGACATGTGGAGCTATATCATTGGTATCATTTTAAAGTTTGTATATATGTCTTGCCTTCAATGAAAAAAATACACATCTATCATGAATAGACGTCGGGATATTTGCGATTGAAGGAGGCGGGGGTTTCGGAAGTAATTTTAGTGAAGAAATGGCAGCCAAAATTTGGCGACTTCCAAAGCTTGAGAGTAATTAGAAACTGCAAATTTACATTTTGCGTGCCTTGAATAAACATTTTTCAATAAAAATCCACACATAAATGTGTTTTTAAATGGACCGTAAAGATGTTGAGTCAAAAAAAAAAGTTTGATAAAAATTTCCAAGACCGACAGAAAAATGCCAATTTCTTTGATTTCATTATTTTGACGAGCGCTTGACTTCACCTCGACGGACGCCAGACATATTATTATTATTCAGTCGATTTCGTAATTTTTGTGGGCGGCGAGGATCATCCGGGTTTTTTAACGTACCATTTGGAAATACAATGACATGTAGGTGGGTATTACGAAAATGATAGCTTCTTAAAGTTGCAAAGTGCGCAGATCCCTTGGTGGTCCAAAAATCGACAAGAGTAGGCTTTGGCCATCACCAGGGCAAAATTCAAAATTAATTCCAACCAAACTAAACATGATTGATGCGTCTGGCGCGCTCATATGACCTTATTATGCAGTTGCGAGCACCGTAAAACAATTACAACCCCCCCCCCCCCCCCCGAACAAACAAAAAACAAAAACAACATCACAGCCATGGTGAGTAAGGCAATCAGGTCTAGTCAAGGGGGCTTTCGTGGCCTAGAGGTTAAGGTGTTGGCCTCTCATTCAAAGGTCCCGGGTTCGAATCCGGGTAGCGACCGAAACATTTTCTTCTCTAAATTTGTCTCCTTTCACCTCATTTCCTGCTCTCTAGCAATGCTCTGTCGGCTGCTTTCGTCTCCTCTTTCTGCCCCCACCCCCTCAACTCCTTTGCCCCTTCCTCTGGGCTCCTGATTCTTTCTGCAGTCTTTCTACTGCTACTCTTTCGCTTCTACTGCTGTCTGTCAGCCACACCCCTGATCTGCTGGTAGGAAAGATCTACACCTAGCCTTCCCGGACAAGGGCGAAATATCTCGGAGGTCGCGTGTGCAAGTGCGCTCGTTAAAGATCCCTTGGTGGTCTAAAATCAATAAGAGTAGGCTTCGGCCGCCACTCGGGCAAAATTCTAAATTTCCTACAAACCGAAAAAGTTTAATGTGTCCCGCGCGCTCATATGACCTTATGCAGTTGCGAGCGCCGTAAAACACTTTACAAAAACAAACAAAAAGGTCTGGTCAACTGTTTATCCTGGCGACCCAGAGCAGACTGTTTTATTAATATAGCTCTACCAAGGGTTAAGGACATACAGTTAGACAACCTAAACGTTGTAAGTAAACATACAGCTCTTGCTGTGTCTTCAACGCGAGTGAGCAGGTTAACATTACAGGTGTACTTACGCGTCTCAGGAAGTCATTGTCTCCGTTACCTCTACCAACCTCAACATTATAGGCTCTACTCTCTGCCTTCTTCAGTTTCAAACACAATGTACATTAACGAAACACAAAGGGTGTTAGAAGTATTTAATGTGGGTAGGTTGTTGACCGTTACGTCGGTTTTGCATTATCTGATCTGAAGAAAAATAAAACAACAACAACAACAACAACAAAAAGACTAACCAGTACACAATTCTTTTCAAATGATGCTATTCAATTGGAACATTTGACCTATGACTGTATGTCTCTGTTTGACCCCAAGAAATGTGATCCATCCCCCCCCCCCCCTTTCGATTGTGGAAATGTCAAACTACAAGAAAAAAAAAAGATATTTTCTGTAATTTAATGATCTTTGTTTCAGAGAGGGAAATGCACAGAATTTTTTTCACTGACGAGCAAATAGTTTTCCAAGGGAAGATGAATTTAAGCTACTTACCGTAAAAACACTTGAAAAGAAAAGTAGAAATGATTTTATATTTGTCATATGAAAATCAAATCGAGAGAAATCAAATTGACACCAAATCAAAATATCCGTTCAGAGCCACAGTTACCAAAATACAGTTTGTACAAAATCGGCTGGAAGTATACCGAACTTAAGGGTTTTGCCAAGTCTGTATCCGGGTTTACTGTGAAGGACAGAGAGCCATTATCAATGAGTCACACTCTGATTAAAAAGAGTGGTCATCTTTCAGCAACAGGGTAAACATTGCTGAGTTCGAGTGGACAATGCAACTTAGTATATTTCTCTCAAGGAAAAAGCATCCCCCGCTGACACCCTTCACTTCTCATCAAGGTTTTTTGTTTTTTGTTATTTTTTAAATTGCTGTTGTTGTTGTTGTTGTTGTTGTTGTTGTTGTTGTTGTTGTTGTTGTTGTTGTTTTAAAGTTGCTTTTGCTGTTGCTGTTTTAGAGTTATTTTTGCCGGGGCCTTTTATTGAAAGGAAGTTTTTCACTAATATTTTAGAACACATTTTTTCGTCTGACCTTTTTTAATTGTGGTCAAGAAGAGGCGGTAAGAAGGGAGGGGGGGGGGAGGGAGGTAGGAGGTAGGATGGGCACTATTTTCCGACATGGATGCACACATCTGACCAAA